CTTCTGCACGAGCATATCGGTACCACTCCCGCTCCCTTCCCTCTCATCTTCAGAAGAACTAGATTGGCTCGACGAATAATTACCACCATCAGGAACAGCGGGCTTGTAAACAGGCGGTGGAGAGATGATGGGAAGTCCAAGCTCGTTTTGTAACAAGTGTGTTACCGCCTCACGCACCACTGAATGGCCTGGCGTTGAGCTGCGCCGGCCTGTGCCTGTGATTACCACGAGGTCATCTTGTATGGGGGCACCTGAAGGGCATCAATAAGGGGTATTAAAAAGTGGTTACTAACAAGGCCCATTGAGGCGCCATGTCCTCTACCTGGCAGCTGCTGCCCTTACATATCTACGAAAGTATATAGAAATAGATAGATAGACGAGTGAATGATTCAACAAAATAATATTCATTCACTTGTATACACAGGGTGCTTTTGTTCACCTCCTGAGTGCTGGAAGGTCTCCTTGAGCAGGTGCAGCACAGAGAGTACTGCCGTGCTTGCTGTGCTGTGCAGTGCGATGCAGTATGGTGGTGTGTTGTGCGGTGTGTGGATGGATATGGTGGCGCTGCGCTCACTCACCTCCTGAGCCACTGGAAGCTCTCCTTGAGCAGGCGAGGCACAGAGAGCACTGTTGGTGTGTGCTGTGCTGTGCTGTGCAGTGCGGTGCCCTGCTGTGCAGTGCGGTGCTTGGCTCTGCTGTGCTGTGCTGTGCTGTGCTGTGCTGTGCTGCGCTGTGCTGTGCTGTGCTGTGCTGTGCAGTGCGGTGCTGTGCGGTGCATGGAAGAATAGCACGGTGTGCTGTGGCCACTCACCTCCTGAGCGCTGGTAAGTCTCCTTGAGCAGGCGCAGCACAGACAGCACTGCTGTGCAGTGCGGTGCTGTATGGATGGATAGGGCATAGCGGTGTGTGCTGTGCAGTGCGGTACAGTGTGGTGCTGTGCGATGATGTGCAGTGCATGGTTGGAAAGAAAGTACTCACCTCCAGAGCGCTGGAAGGACTCCTTGAGCAGGCGAAGCACAGAGAGCACTGCTGTGCGTGCCTCTGCCTGGTAGGGGGTGAAAGTTGGAGAAGGGGATGGAGAGTGATGAAGAGGGATGGTGGGCGGTGAGCTGGGATGGAGGGGAGTGTAGAAGGATGGGAGACAGTGAGGAGGGATAACCAACGGGGTACTGTGGAGGATGATGCGTTGGGTGATTGGATCAGAGGGGTAATGTACAGTGAATACATCAAATTGGCAAGGCACAATCTGAGGAAAATTAGGAAAAAGGAAAGAACAAGCAAGTACAACAGCGACAATTACAGCAAGAAAAAAAAAAAAAAAAAATTCACACCCGAGAAAGCCCATGGAGATCGAGCTTGGTCAAGCCCTCGGCCATCCTCTCGTCCTCCTCTCCCGCCTCCCCTCCTCCTCCCCCACCTCCTCCTACTCTTCCATCGGACCCTCTCGAACCGTCAGCATGAGGCTCGTCTTCTCTTGCCTCTCTCTCCCCCACCATGCCTGCTACTACCCTCCCAGCACCACCCGGGACATCACTAGCCACACTTGTTAGGCGAGAGGAAGTGGGGGTAGTGGAGGTTGAGGAGGCTGAGGAGGAGGAGGAGGAGGAGGAGGAGGAGGAGGAGGAGGAGGAGGAGGAGGAGGAGGAGGAGGAGGAGGAGGAGGAGGAGGAGGAGGAGGAGGAGGAGGAGGAGGAGGAGGGGACGTGAGGAGGAGGAGGGGGAGGTGGAGAGAGGAGGGTCCAGGGCGCCTTCAGCCATCTCCCCTAGCAGGCTCTTGAGCACGTAGTCGTTGGGGGAGTAGCTGGGGGAATGGGGGGAAAGGGAGTAGGGGAAGAGGGGTGGATAAAGTCAGAGAGAGATGGGGTGGAGAGGAGAGGAGTGGAGGTTCCAGATTATTTTCAGACATCTCCCACAGAAGGCTCTTGAGCACTTAGTCGTGGGGGAGTAGCTGGGGGGGAGAAGGGGAAAACGGGAAAGCAGGAGAGAGAAGGGTGTTGACGTGGAAAAAGAAGAGGCGAAGGTGGAGAGGGGAGAGCGCAGGGCTCCTTCTGCCATTTCCCCTGGTAGGCTCTTGAGAACCCACTAGTGGGTTACTTATTGTGTGCACCGTTGCTAGTGGGTTACTTATTGTGTGCACCGTTGCTAGTGGGTTACTTATTGTGTGCACCGTTGCTAGTGGATTACTTATTGAGTGTGCTGCTGCTAGTGGGTTACTTATTGTGTGCACCGTTGCTAGTGGGTTACTTATTGTGTGCACCGTTGCTAGTGGGTTACTTATTGTGTGCACCGTTGCTAGTGGGTTACTTATTGTGTGCACCGTTGCTAGTGGGTTACTTATTGTGTGCACCGTTGCTAGTGGGTTACTTACTGTGTGCACCGTTGCTAGTGGGTTACTTATTGTGTGCACCGTTGCTAGTGGGTTACTTATTGTGTGCACCGTTGCTAGTGGGTTACTTACTGTGTACACCGCTGCTAGTGGGTTACTTACTGTGTGCACCGT